ACTTACTTACTTACTTACTTACTTACTTACTTACTTACTTACTTACTACTCTACTCTCTCTCTCTCTCTCTCTCTCTCTCTCTCTCTCTCTCTCTCTCTCTCTCTCTCTCTCTCTCTCTCTCTCTCTCTCTCTCTCTCTCTCTCTCTCTCTCTCTCTCTCTTTGCTATTTTCTTTTACCTTTATTATATTTTATAGGTATATATTAAAAAAAGTTTCAACATTTTATTATAAATGTTTTAAATATCTTTAATAGTCATTGTGTCAAAATAAAAAATAAAAACTAAAAGAAAAATTCAATATTCATTATAATTATTAAAAAGTAAAAAAGAAGATAACATAAAATATTTTATAAATTTTTATTTATTTCGACGATATATCAAGATTTCTTTGCTTTTCTACATTTTTTTAGGTGAGATAGACCGCGCGCGTGTGAATATGAAAAAAATGTATATATTCGTATTTGCTAATTTAAAAATAGCAATAATGATACGAAGAAATATCACGAATGAGATATTCCAATCTATAAAATTTTCGATAATAATGTGGATTCTTGTTCTTATTCTCGAAGACATGGGTTCCCTTTTCCACGAAAACGAGAAATAGGAAGAAATGAAAAAGGCACGTCCATACCAAGGCAGTCATAAGCAAGAAATCTGATGTCATATCCTAATTGGCGTTTATGGTACACGAGGGTGCCATGCATCAGCTGATGTTATATGTCATCTATATAATGAGTTACCGGAGACCATGGAGACTTCATTATAGAGTACGCAGATGATCTTGAGCTTTATAGACAATTAGTATATACTCGTACCTATATCTTGACCTGGCTTTTCGATGTAATAAATTAAGCACAAGTTATAGACTACCACTAAAGGATATTATAAAATGACGTCATTATATTAATAATCGTGCTTGATAAATTTTTTTTCGCTGCTAAATTCATATAGAATCTATATATAAAAGCCAATAATAAATACACGATGCAGATGTTAAAAGCTGACATCTGTTCAAAATTTAGATTTTAGAGAAAGAAAATATCCATGTTTTTTTCCACGGATTTCTTGTTTCGCGATGAAAAAAATTGATATTGTAACTGTAACAAATAAAAATATGGTTACAATGTAATATATTTTTGCGAAAGGGACACGTTAACTAAGATAAAGCGTTGAATTGCTCCTTTCAACTAAAGCTAATTCACTCGATTCAAATGTTAATTTCGATTGCTGCTTATCAATTGCACGATTGTTGTCTTTACTGAATGCAGTCGATGATTTCGCTGATATTTACAAATTTCTCTGTAAAATAAATTGCCATCTAAATGTCTCTTTAGAAAATAGATTAACCCGATGGAAGTGATTGAAGATGTTGAAGATTCGCGAGACTACTTAACAATCTACAAGAAAGATTATCTTGGAAAGAGAGACAAGGCTGAATACAAATTATTACCAAAATATCCCCTATCCTCGAACATTTTGAATGAATCATACAAGTATTTGAACACACGATTGAAAAATCAATCGCTACCTAAAAATGAACGTAGTGAAGATCCAGTGGACTATTTAAATAGGGTAAAGATGTAATTTCGTTAGAATTGAAATAGATTTATCACTAATTGTGTATATTATTGAAAATATAGATACGCGACAAATTTTGTCACTTAAGAAATGCTTTGCCGGAAATTGTGCCGGATGAGAACGTGATAGAACGTGAAGAGCAGAAATCGATCAAGACCGTGTATCAACTAGATTATTTGACAGAAATTAGAAAGGGTTCGTTAATTACAATAATTATGTTGATTATTAAATATATAATTTTATATATATATATATATATATATATATATATAGAACAGGCAACAAGTAACTTGAAAGTCATGTGATAATAATACCTTTTACCTTTTAAAACATATTAGACGTATAAAAAAATTATAAAGAATCTTGTTTACTTACATAATTTCTCTCGATATTATAATAATACGTTATTACAAATATTTTCAATCGCAATCAGATCACCCACGTAGAGAAATAATATTACCGCAAGACTGGATTATACCCGAAACAATTCAAAAACGTGCGTACCGAAATCCATGGGTAATACGCAACAAGAGAATTAATAAAACCATCAAAAATTTTCAAACCATGCAATAATTTGGATCCTAATCTTAAAGAAAGAGAAATTCTTCGTATAACGTATGTAAAATACATGGTATTAATATCTATATTACGATCCAATGCATAATTTCAGATTTTTAAATATTTTTATAGTACTGGAAACTCTGAATATTCTGATACCATCGGAATTGCAAGGGAAAGAATTAAACAAATATTTCCAGAAATGAAAGATAGCATCAGTTTACAAAACTCATATCCGGGAATATCTGACTCGGAATGTTCGCTGATACTAAAACAACATTTAGTTCTTCCTGCAAAAATATTCTAAATTATTATTGAACTATAATTTTATTTAAATGAGATATAAAATTCTCATCAGAGAGGCGAGGTAACAAAAGCATAAATGAAATAAATCATATGCAAAGTGTTAGAAAACAGAATCCATATTAAATTCATGTAATTACATTTTTCACTTTGATTCCATATTCTTCATTTCTTTTTAAAAGTAGTAATTATCTTATGATAGTAGTAATTATCTTATGATAAATCACTTATATGACTACAAGTCTACATACTACACATTCATACCAACACACAATCACACAATGTTGTAACATTGCTTTCAACTCACATATTTCACTCTATTTTCGTATAATTATTTACATATTCTGGTGAAGTTTTATTTTATAAAATATTTTCCGACAAATTGTAAGTACTTGATATTTCATATAACAAATTCATCCATCAAACGTTTGAATGTTTCTATGTTTACAACTGACATTCCACAAAACATTAAATATTGAAGTAATAAACGAACATAATCAACTAATTACTCGAATAATCTAGTAGTATGATCATTATAAATTCTCGCTTAATTATTGTTTGTATATTTAAGTTAATAATTGCTCGCTTAATTATTGTTTGTATATTTTAAGTATATTTATCTTACAAATTACAAAGAATAATATACTTGAAGCTTATAGCGCTAAAAAAGCAAATAAAGAAAAACAATATAATAATAAAAGAAATATTTAAAATTTAATGAGAACTAAATTTAAAATTAAATAAGAACTAAATTTTATTTTAAAAAATATAAAAATAAATGGCAATAATAATTTCGTAGAACAAAGAATATGTATTTTTGGAAACGTATTAATGTATTATAAATGTATTTTTGGAACTTATATTATTTTAAGATTGACATTGTGAAATCAACATTCCTAAATTAAATATATACATAAAGTGCAAAGCATTATAACGATTAATGCGAAAAATCGAGTTTAAATGTATATTATAATAATACTTGTATACTTTGTAATAAAAAAATAATATATAAGTTCAGTAAACTTATATATAATTTTATGAATCTTTTAATTATAACAAAGATACATATATCTAAAGAGAGAGAAATGAACTAATCTAATCTAATCTAAAAAACTACCCAGCACATAATATATACAATTTATAATTTCAGTCTCTCACTTTGCAATATCAATACCAATATCAAATTTTATTAATTTGATAAGGGTATTTATTAGCTAAAAAAATTCATATATGTTCACACAGATTTATTTTATAATGTGTTATTCCAGACATAAAACTATTTTTATAAATTTTGATTCATATATATTTTATTAAACAAAACTGTCAAGTATCTATTTAACTATAACAAAATTATAAAAATGTAAATACTGCTAGGGATTGTAGATACAATTTAATATACACACACACACACATATACACGCACGCACGCACGCACGTACGCACAAAGTACTCCAGGGGACAATAGGATAAACCTTTTATATACTAATTAATACCATATATTTGTAAAATTATTTTGTACATTAAATCGTTCAGCATATCTTGAATCAATTTTAAATAAATCTCAGATGTTTAAATATCTTGAAATATAATACAAGAATATATGAATTTTATAATATATTTAACATTGCAATGAAAATATTCTTGTTAATCTTTTTCCCCTTTCAAAATAGAATTTATTAAGCCTCGGTTGTCTCTCTGCAGTCATATTGAATTATAACGTCAGAGGCGAGAAATGACATAAAAAGTTTCTTGCATTCATATCTTTATCTTGTACTTTCCCTTACAAACATGATATTTTCGTATTCTTAAAACTTGTAAAAAATATCAGAACTAAGATATATCTGTCTAATAAATCATGTAAAAATGTAAAATAATTCTTGAGATAATGGTACTGCTTAGCTATTAGAAATTATCAGATCGTTAGATCTAGTTGTTTCTGAGCTGAGCAGTGACCATTATTTCAAGAATTATCTTACACTTTTATGTGATTTATTGGTATCTTCTCAGATATCTTACTTTCTGATATTTTTTACAAGTTTTAAGAATACAAAAATGTTTTTAAGAGAAAAGTACAAGATAAAGCTATACGACGCAAGAAACTTTTTACATATCATTTCTCGCCTCTGACATCACACAATCCAGGTCGCGCCATGAGAGAACCGAGCCTTAATATTTTAACGATTAAAAGTAACTAAGTTTGCTGAAAAATAGTACAACTAGAACACTATATACCTAATTTTGTATCTAAAGATTACCTTTTTCATAAAAATTACACTTATATTATACATATCGCACTGGGATATATTTACAAAATGCAGATGTTCAATATTAATCATCGACACAAGTCTCATATTTGTTTTTTAATCCAATTTATACTATTATCTATATTAATCGATTATTTGAGATAATGTTGTCATCAGAGATCATATCTTGCAGAGGAATATTTGGTTTCTGCAACAAACAATTAGAAACGGCAAATGTAATTTGTATCTCTGGGAGATCACAGACGACTCCGATTAGAGAATAGAAACTGTTATCTTACTTCAAATATAATCGTGGATGCCATATTGTCTGTGTCGTGATATTGTACACCTACATTTGCAGCTGCTATTGCTATTGTATGAATATTATCGGTGCTGGTTGAGGTTGTGATGTGCTGGGTAATCGTGGTGTTTGCATTTTCTCTACTGTAACCATTATACTCTTATATGCGTAAAATAACGATGTTGAGACACCTAGTTTCTCATTCTTTTTGCTAGAGAGAAACTTGTATTAGGAAAATACAAATTAGAACTTACTTTCGTTTCTTTGCTTGACCTGAATGGAAACGACCACCTTCACCACGAATTCTGTTCATCGCATGTCGATGACGGGATTCGTGAAGATATTTCTGTGAAATAAAATCTTGTGTTATTTTTGTATCTTTGCAATCCATATATGTATGTATGTGTGTACACACACACACACACACACACACACACACACACACACACACACACACACACACACACACACACACACACACACACACACACACATATATATATATATACAATCATATATACATATGTACATACATATATACACACATGTACGACACATGTACACAATACGAAATAAATGTATAAAACTTTAAATTTTTTTCATACAATAATGTATTGCATATATATATTCAAATAGATCAAAAATCTAATTTTAAAATATACATCAAGAACAGAAAATTATTTGTGAAAAAATTAAAGGATACTCACTGGTCTTTCCTTAGGTATTTTTCCTTCAGCTTCCAGTTTAGCACGTGCTTGCCGACGTTTCAGTATCCGTCTATATTGTTTTGCATTGACGTAAAGTGGTTCTTCTTCAAGAAGTTCAGCATTAGGCAATGCTACTCTTTGGAACTGTGCTTGCCCGCTATTACCTGGTACCATCTAAATAATAGATATAACAAAACATGATTAGTTATTACTTCATGATAAAATGTTATTTCTTTTGATCCTTAAAATATTCATATATTGATATGGTAAAATATTATGTAACATATATCAAGAGCAAATATTTTATTCATATAAGAATGACTTTAGAACATTAATTATATATTACATAATCGGCATTATTGTAGAGTAAGCGAAATACATAATGAAAACATAGGCAATAGGAATAGGGAATAACACAGGCAACAAATTTTAACCTTGGGAAACCAGGTATCAATGTACAATAGAAAACGTTTTCCCATAGGTTGAAATTTGTTGCTTGTGTTTTTCATTGTGCATCCAGTTTTATACAAACTGATGTGAAGCACATGTGCATAAACTATATAAATGGAAAACTTTTCTTCTAGATAATTACCATTACGACATTTCCTGCTTGTGATACTGTTGATGTAGGACTACCTAAAGGTTGTACTGGAGTTGTAGTAGCTGCTGTAGTTGTAGTCTGCGAGGTTGTACCAGCAATTTGCATAAGATTGCCATTAAGGTTTATCACTATAAATTGAAACATGTTAGAATAGAAATAATTAAATTAAATATGATAGATACATTTTTCATTTACCCGTTGGTTGCGCTTGTTGAACTTGACCTTCCAGTTGTACAGGTTGATAAATATATGTCTGTCCATCTGGAGTTTGAATGATTTGTGGTGTCTGTGGTTGTTGAATAACTATCTGCTGACCCGTGCTAGTCAGACTAGAAACTGGAACCACTTGGATCTGTCCATTAGGTGCCGCTACTTGTATTGCCTGTGGAAGCATCATGGTCTGACCACCTTGGCTCATCTGAACCACTTGTACAGTTCCACCAGTACCTCCAACTACAACCGCCTGTCCTTCGCTAAGTTGCTCCATATCTGAATATTTTTGCTGCAAAAAGAAAAAAATAAAGTTTTCTTAACAAAAAGCATTGGCAAAAAAATATCGCAAATCAGATATCGCAATCAGATATAACAAATGATACAATATATGTACCATTCATATCATATCATCCAATTCGCATAGTCCGTCCATTAGACTACATCGCGTAGTCGCATGCGAAGTTAACGCGGCAGCATTCTAGAAATGTTGTCTCTGTGCGAGAGTGAGACGCTGGTCGCCGACGCGACGTGGCGACGGTGATACCGCCGAGTCGTCGTCTCGCGCACGAGAACCACGTGCGATCGCGCGCGAAACGCAGCACGCGCAGCTATCTTCCGGAAGACCTATCTTCCGATGAGACGAATATCGTAAAGATATGCCACGCGACGCGTCGTGTCGTGTCGTGAGAGCACGTGAGAGCAGAAACGCGCGCGCGATACGCTTCGAAGGCCGCCACCGCCGCTACGATTCACGGCGTCTCGTGGCGTAACGTATGCCGTATGCCTCGGCCGAGACAGAGACTCGCGTGGACCCACGACGACGACGCGGTCCGTGATCCGCGCGATCCACGATACGTACGTGCAAGGAACCCGTGAGGTCGCCCGATCGCGGATGATCCGAACAGGAAACCGGGTCGATCGCCATCGGATACGACGCGGACGTTCGTGTGTGGGAAGGACACGGTTTCGCCTCGACAAACATGGCCGTGTGGCAATGGCTTTTTTGGCGTCGATGAAGGCGCTGGCCCGCGCGGAAAGACACGGGACGCGGCCGCGAAATCGGGGTTAATCGCGAATGTGGGCGCGCGACCGCGCTGCGTATCGGGTTGATGTTTGATAATTTGTGAACTTACATTGGATATTTTCGTGGGCACTTTCCCAATTGGTCGGCGAATTGAGGACCAATGGTCGGCGAAAGACCGTCCCCAGCTCTTGAGTATTGGTGGCACTGAACGGTATAAACTGCCAACGGTATGAACTCCGATGGCAGCCGGACGCCAAGACCGGTCGATGCCCCTCTGCGCCTCTATGCGGTCGGCCAATCAACTTACGTGTCTCATCCCCCTCCCTCAACGCGCGCAGTTCAAAGTTCGCATTTACGGTTAATTTTACTATTTTTTTCCAAGAATTCGTGTTACAAGGGACAAAGGGACAAAGAGAGATTTCTTTTCTTTTTAATAGTTTATTCTTTCTAAATCCATTTTGCGATATCATAAGAGAAACAACATACAAGGTGAAGGTACAGATCATTCCTAAATTCACATAAACGCCAAAGTAAAATTAAATGATAGATTTTGTGAAAGGAAACAAAGAATTTTTTTCTCTCTATAACAAATACAATATAGCTTTTATGTTCTTATTTCTTTTCTATTTTCAACTACCAACAATCAGATCTTTTAATAGGAAGGCATTCCAATTTTATCTACATAGATATACCTGCTTCTCACACACACACACACACACACACCACACGCGCGCGCGCGTCATCATACACACGCACGCATGCACGCACGCGCGCACACATGCATACATAATGCATGACATCCATATATATACATACACACATAACTGAAAGTATCATGCGCAACATACACCAAGATAAAACTTTTCCCATAGCTTTTAAAGAATTTTGGACGACGATTAGAAATTCTATTTTAAAGTTTCAAAAGCTTAAAGGAATAAAATTTTCCTTAATTTTGTATTAATCATTTAATTTTTCATATAAATTAATATTAATAGTATTTATAATTATTATATTAATTATTAATTAATTATTATATTTAATTATTAATTAATTATTATATTTATATTAGTTTTCTTTCATTATATCGCATCGTACATGATGTAATATTATTGTTTCAACTTTTGCACAAATTTTTCTGTTATATATAATTTTTAAAAGTAATAAATCTTATATCAAATACTTCTTACACATTACAATACAAAAAAAACCATAGCCATGTCGGATTTTATTAAATTTATTAAACGATGATAAAATAGCACTTTTATACTTTTTTATCTTTGAAATGTATATACAAGGTATCCTGTCATTATTGCATAAGGATCGGTACATTCTCTGACCATTTTGAAAATGGTTTTCTTTTACAGTAAAAATATTCAGATATTAATAATTATCTTTTAAAAATATATATATCTTTTTCTAAATTAAATTTTAAGATTGCAAATAGATAGATCGCGAAATTATATTTTTTAATTTATTTGAAGTGAACTTTATTTTCATAGACTGTGTCTATTTAAAATTTAATTTCATGTAAATAATACATGAAAACAATAAAATGTAAAAATGAAACAAGTCGCGAAAAATAATAATCCCTCTTGATATTTTTGCAAAACAATAATATAAAATATTTTCGCAAAAGGACAAATACTCAAAGTTAGATAAAAATGTCATTAACTTTGTTCTTACATGGTAATGACGAGATATCTTGCATATATACATATACACACATATATATATATGTGTGTGTGTGTGTGTGTGTGTGTGTGTGTGTGTGTATGTATATGTATATATAATCTTTTTATATCGATATACATAACGAATATTACAATAACAGGTAAATTCTCTACATAAAAATTTCATGTGATGTAGATAAAATATGCAAAACATTGATGGCATAATTCTCAATCCTCTACTTGAAAATAAAAAATAAAAGAAAGAAATGTATATTTATTCAACAATTTTGAAGCTATTGGTATGTAGCAAGCATAAACAATAATAACAATAGTAGTAGTAATTTAACATTTTATATAATACATTACATATTAAATATTAAAATCGATCCTTTGTTTTAGCATAAGCTAGAATTGTAATTCGGACTTAGGTCGATTTATTTCGACAAGTGTTTGCTCTTTTGATGCCATATGATGTAAAAGTTCCAGTCAAATGAGATGAAATTATAAATTAATTTGAGAGATGTTTAACAATCACGACAGAAATGGAACCACCAAATCCTCCTTGTGTTCGACTTTTACATCGCTTAATGCTGTCACAGCCTTGTTGAGCATTTCTGTAATCTATATATTTAATCTGTATATTCATGCATTTACTTTCATTGTCATCAAACATTATGACAAATGTGATAGAAAAAAACAAAATTGCAAAATACTTACCAGTTCTTGATCTTCAGTAGCAAGTGGGTCAGCCGCTAATATTCGTTCAGGAGCAGGCATATCCTTAAGTAAGCAAGATGCAGCTTCGGGGAGTTTAATTCTACCCGACTCTATTCTCTTTGAATAAGCACGAGATCTATCCATATATTCGTGTTGTTCTAGATTATGTGTATCTAATGCACCTACATCTATAACATTGCTGTAAAAAGAGAATTAAATCATAATTTTCAGATAGAATTTATCTTGACAAAGTAAATCAATATTTAAAAAAGTAGAAAATTGTATCCTCGAAAAAAAGTAAAAATAAAAATGTATTCCAGAGTTAGATCACATATCAAATAAAATCTACTCACGCTGCAGTTTCATGTAAAATTCGATTTAATGCACTCTGTTCATCTGTTTTCTTAGGCACGGAACTTGCATATTGGTTAACATAATCATCACTGAAAATAAACAAAATACAAAAACATTGATTTAATTTTATTTAAGATTCCAAAATACATATTTGAAAGTGTAAATATTCAAAATATTTACACTTGATAAACAAATAACTCACCTATGTACTCTTGGTATATTTGTATTGTTACTGACGGGATCTACCAATAAATGTGTCCTCTCGTTTGCTTCTCCACTCTGTAAATAAATTATCATGTGTTACATATTAAAATATGCAATCACAATTATGCATTTTTGTTTCTTTCTACGGTTACATTTTTTTAACATCGCAATGTAAAAATCTCATCTACATAGCTATCGGATATTTCTTAATATTGCCGCCGAGTAGGCGTATTAGCCGCGATAATTCACGAGAATTGCCGCGCATATAGCATCGACGATAAGGCAAAAGATATGAAAAGTGCAGAAAAAGCAACTTTTCTTTGCGGTTGTTTTACCTGTGGTCCGTTATCCTCTTTACAAAAGCTGTAGCAACATCCCATGTTTGAACAAAATTTCTCCAATGTGACCTTTTTCAATCAGTGAAATGCAATGGCTATTGCAAACAGTCGCTCATTTTTTGTTCCGGTAAACAATCGGATGAATCAGTATCGTGTCGCCGCAAGAGATTCTACGCGTATATATCACACAATCATAACTCCAATAAATAAAGGCCATATCCTAGCAGGGCATATGTGATTTCTCGCAGATACGAAAACTCGGGATGTGACGAAGCCAGGCATATGCAACGTCTCTGGTGGAACTCGTCCTGTACTATTTGAACACTGTTGAAAACGTAACCTCGCTGCGCGTGACTCGCGCATGTTGTTCCGCCGTGTCGTTTCGTTTCCCGCAAAGCAACGTCACGTCGGAGAGCCGAAACAAGGTGAAAGTAAAACAGTAAACACGCAATCAGTATTGAACTTCTTTTGTATTGAACTCCAACGGAAATTACCGTGGCTTAACGGAAGTTCAGCACATTTAAGTTGCCGTCAATTTTTCAATTTTACGACTGTGATATATACTGTATATATGTGCATATATCAATCGCTATCATGTCAAGCACAAAGGTAAGACGATAATAACGACAATAACGATAATAACGTATAATGTATTATGTATAATTATTTGTATCTTTGATGATAAAATGTACTAACTTATATTACTTTCCTTATTTTAGGAAGTAACAGAGTTACAAGTGTTCAAGACAGTCCTTTACCACAGCATGGTGATACTTGCGCTACCTATAATAACATTTTTTACAAGCAAAGTCTTTCTCTTTGATGGTATGAAATATAAATATATATGTATATAAGAAAAAATTCTAAATAAATGTACCATGACCATATTCTTATGACACGGTACATATACTGGCGTAAACATCAAAAGAAATTGTTTTTATAAATTTTTGTACAATTTTTATCTAGAATATTTCTTTCTTTAATTCTCTTAAATTAACAAAATTTTTGCACTTTATGTTTAGGTATATTAGGTCTCAACAATGTGTCAAGTAATGTATACTCGGCTGGCATTGCAGTAATAATATTACACATTGCCTTAGGAGTCTTTATATATAGAGCATACTTTGATGATCAATCAAAAACATCAGCAATTAAGAGAGATTAGTTCTTTATTATTAAGTACACCTTGGTGACCATACACTTTCCACATAATCACAGTCAATACATAATGTTTCAAATAATGTTAAGTAATATTGTAAAGAGATGTGTTATTTCAACATTTATTAATATATTCTCCTTTATTTTTGCTCTAGCCAGTAATTAATTGAAAAAACAAATTGGAATTTGTCAAAATTAATGAACAGCATTATCTGTACGTACTTAAAAATGAATTCTTATAAAACATTTTACATTCCACAATTTTTTCAAATATCGAAATATATAAATATATATTTTCATATATAAATTAATATATAATAAAATCCATAATGCATAAAATATGATTTTTGTCGATAAAGCATAGATTTCTATTATGTATATAATTTTATCCTCTTTTAAAAAAGTAGCAGTAACAATACAGAAATTTTTTTTCAACGAGAGATTCCACAATAGTTTATTGAGGAGTAAAAGTTGGGTTCCCATATTTCCCCTTTTATTTAACAAAGATAAAATTCATTCTTGTTCTATTTGTTTATTCAAATTTAAGTTTACTGTAAATTATTTTAAATTAATTGTTTAAAACTATTATATTTATATGAAACAAATGTAGTTATTGATATAAAATAAATATTATAATTACAAATTATCAAATGATAATATAGCAAAGAAAAAAACAAAATGTTATCAAAGCATCAAGTTAAACAAATATACTTTCATGTTTATTTTATTAACAAATCTGAGTCGGAGACATGGCTTTTTTAAAACATAATAGCAATTAAAGTGAGAATATATTAATTTTTTATGGAAAATTATATATTTATCAAATAAAAATATGACAAATTATATGCGTTCTTATGGAAAATTAAATCGAATTTATTAAATGATATTTAACTCCTGATATTCAAATAATGAGAACAATAGATATCAAATATCACCAAATACATAAACATAAAAATAAATGTAATAATTCATGTGTTATAAACATAAATGTGCAAGAATCACATGAATGCATAAAGTATATAGATGTGTATAAGAAATTAATAGAAAAATCTCACTGTATGTGGTAAAACTTTTATCATTCAGAAAACAAAATATTTTTAACACTTTCACATTTTTTACATCTTGCTAATAGTAACTATACATGTGTAATAATTTGCGATTCTTAGTTGCTAAAAGCGACATGGGAACAAAGTTAGGCGCGAAAATGAAATATGGACTTATCTTGCATCCTAGGAACAATTTCCACTACAATGAATTTTTTAGTGCTGTGAAGTAATATAGCAATATAAATATGGTGAAAGAAATATACTATGTCACTGTGTAGATGCCTATAAGTTATGTACAATGATATATATCTAATTGAATTAGAATTCTCTAGAAAGTGACTTGCACTAAAAACAATGATCCAAGTCATATTGAAACTTAAAAAAAAAAAAAAAAAAAAAATAGAATTGTAACAAATTTCTGTAACATCTTCGTAGATGTTAATTTCAAAATTAAAGCAGACTTTGTACAATTCCAATTAGTGAAATATTAATTTATTTAAGTATCGTAAATGCAACAAAAAAAATTTGTGACAGAATATTTGCTGTCGGTCGTGAAAAAAACGTTGGAATGAATTATTGTATTATTAAATACATAAGATCGCCAACGCGTTATCTGATTCATAATTTCATTTGGTCAATTAGAGATCTAATTTAGCATTCATTCTATATATTAAAAATTGCAACATATTGATTCTTTCTACTGACAATAGATTTTAGAAATCTTTCATATCTTTCCTTTTCAAAAATTTATCCTGAGTAATTGAGTTTTATATGCATTTAGAAGCATAAATATTAAAAATTTGAAAAAAAAGATATTATTAAGACTTTTTAAGATATTAAGACTTTATATATAAAAACATTTTAATAATTTGAGTTTTAATAATTTAAATTATGTTTCTTCATTTTCCGAACTATAATCGTATTTGCAATAATACGAATGTTATAAGACGAATTGCTTTCAAGCAGAAGAATACTTCTTTCGCGAATTCTGAATTTGTAAAGTTTCACAAATTTCTGTAATATATATATTAAATTAATTCACCAAATTAATAGATGTTACAGAGAAAAAAGAAAAAAAATGAAACAGAAAGACAATCGTATGTGCAATCAGACCACAGCATGTCAAGCGGTTTCGAGACGTAAACGCGATTTGTCCAAATAAGATATATCTACTATTTCAATTAAGATAGATTTAATATTATTAAAACACATAAGTTACGATGACCGTTACTCGAGATCCATTTTTTCATCATCTGCTTGCTGTTGCTGCTGTTGATTGGATTGACTGTGATTGTTACCTTGGGCATTTTGATTTTGATTATTTTTTTGTTCATCAGCAGGTTTATCTTTTGGTTTTTCCTCCTTTGGCGGTTCTACTTTAGGTTTAGGCTTATTGAGAATAGGTAATACCACACTGTCCAATGACTATGTAAACGGAAAAAAAAAATTAGTATATCAAAAGAAAATTGTAATTATAGCTGATATTTTTCGATATTTACTTGTTTTTCAGCACGGATTTGCGCCACAGTGACTGGTGGTTGTTGCGTACGAAGCGTATTCGCAAGTAGTATACGTTTCTCTTCTAACCATGTCCATTTCTCTTGTATAGTTTTTTCAATTGTTTTTATTTCTTCCTCCGTTAGATGAGAATATTTATCATCTTTTCCACTTGACGCTCTTATTTGATCTAAACCTTTCTTAGCCAGTTGTAATGCCCCTCCTAATTCGTCTAATGCATAAGATCTTCCTTCAAATTCTAATCTCCTTTCCTTTATTGGTTCTCCTTGAGCCTAATAGAAAGAAAAAGATTAATTAGATTAGTATTTAGAAATACTGATTTATGTTGAATAATCAGTAATGTGTTAAATAATATACCTTCAAGCGCGTCAATCGCTCCGAATAAATCTGTCGTTGACAATCTTCTCCCTCTTCATAGAGCCAATTTTCAGTATCATCTAATGTACGACATAGTGTTTCTTTGTCCGTTTCTGTGATAAATGTAGCTAATTGATCTTCTTCGGACAATTTAGCACGCAAGTCATAAACATATTCTTCTAAAGCATTACGCGCGTCAACTCGTTCTTTTTCCTGTTTATCCTCAGCAATCATTTTACCCTGTTCACGAGCAAAATTCATGCAATTACATGATGATTCAACGTTATATTGATAAGTTTCTTCACTATGATCAAAGACAAAATAATACAACATTTATATAAGATAGCAAGTTGCATAACATCTGAAATATACATAGGATGATATATACCTCTTTTTCTATCGCAGCATCAAGATCTCGTGGAGACAATCCGCAAACATTAGCTTCGATAGGTAAATCGATTGTACGGATGGGAACTTTTTTCTTATTTTTATCATCGCCTTTCTCGTCTCCCTAAAGAACAGAAAAGATTCATCTAATATATTTATTAAAAATTTTTTAACACTGCATTTTTTCGCACAAACCTATAATAAAAAAATCGTTTACAAGAAAGTTTATTACTTAATTGTATGTTTCATTCTTTTGTAATTTTCAAAATTCATGTAAAGTTTAGCAAATTGAAGCATAATGTACACATAAATATACTTTTATAATATATTGAAAAATTTTTTATCTTTGTGACACTTACCTTATTAAAATACTTTCTTGAAACGCTTTCTTTTATGTTTTTAATATAATTTAACAACACTTTTATGTATTTAACATAAAAATGCTAGATTTCAAGAAAATTAAATTTGTACAATAGAAAAAATTAAACTGGAATTCAGGTGATGACAAAGATAAGACAAGGATAATGGGGTATACACTTTCATAAGAACAGTTTTAAATTCGTATAGTGCCAGCTCAACTATAACAGATGAAATAAATATGTATGTTATAAGATAATTTATACATTTGTTCATACGTAATATAATGGACTATTCCTTTTTCTTAACAAATACGAATTGAAAACTGATCAGTGTTGCCTGCCTTTATATTTTAAGAATATTTTATACTGCTCGGTATATAATGTGCTTCTATTAGATATCACTGTCTCTTTTCCTTCTGCGACCCAGTATATAGAATAGCAGAGCAAAGACAGACAGCACGGCTGTAACACAGCTGTTCTTGGACCCATATGCATTATCAAGAAATGAATGCAAAATTATATATATATATATATATATATATATATATATATATCGTA